TGTGTGTGTCTGTGTGTGTATGTGTGTGTGCGTATGTGTATGTGTGCGCCAGGGCTGCTCAGCTAGTGGGCACTGGAGAGTTTGGACAGAACAGCAGAGCTCTGGAGAGAAGAGACAAACACCTCCTCCTCTATCGCATCATCACTTCGTGAGCTCTTCACGCACACACTTTTGCAAATTGCCAATTAAACACATAGTTGCAAACACCCATAAAGTCACACATAACAAATAACCAAACATTTTAAACACAACAAACAGACAGCTGTGTGGTAAATGTGTTGTTATTGGGTAAAATATGATGCCTCTCCAATACATTGGAGTTTTGTCCCAGTCCCAGCTGTGAGAACATGAGCTCTGTCTGCCTTCATTCATTTGCTGTGTGTTGTGTGACCATCCCCACAAGTGCAATTTTATTAGCATGCATCAACACACCATCTGCAACCTGAAATCAAGCAATAATTGAGCATAATAAATGATGTTAAATCCATTAACAAAGGCAGAGGTTGTAAGTTGTTTGTTTAGGACGTGTTGAATTATACACTGTTAAATATGCTGGTTTAAATCGCAATGTTCTTAATTAAATCTGAATTGCAAAGGGAAAAAAGTACTCTGTGACACACACACATTTTCACACATTTATTTTTCTCTTCCATTTGCTCTCTCAATATCCGGGATTAGTCATTCATTTTTCCCTCTCTGCTCAAAGCCAGTGGAGAAATGAAATCTCTTTCCTGTCTAAAGCCCTGCGTGTCATCAGTTGAAACCAAATACATCAATGTCATTAATGTCACTGACTTGTGGCCATTTAACCTTGTAATTGTATGTCATACCCAAACTGAAATCTTTCTCTCTAGGGAAATTAATCACTTGATAATCACTTTTGTTGGCAAGAAAGATGCCATTACAGTGGTGCTAATTGTTAAACATGGAAACTCAATAAAAAAGGGCACGGAGGTGAGCCAGTCTCCTTTTTTATAATGAGGAATGATGCAGATCACTGCTCCGCTCCTATCTGTCCGCATAATCAGATGAATGTGTGCATACATGTGTGTGTGTGTTTTTATTGGATCATTAAAATCATAACAAATACCTGGTTTGCCACCGCTGTCTCTGTTTATTTGACTTGAAGTGTTAACTCTGTATTAGAGTTGGATTGAACTCATCTGGATTCAGACAGGATTACTGGGGTTTGTTGATAAGAAGTCTCCATTATCCTGTGATCACAAGTGCTGTTTGGCAGAGATCTGACGTGCAGGTAAATGTTGTGTGTTTGGATTGCCCTCCTCCTGTCTGTGCCAGCACAGCTTTACACCTGCCGCAGACAGATGAGTGTGTGTGTGTGTGTGTGTATATGTGTATGTGTTTGTGTATGTGTGCGTGGGTCACCTTTTTCCTACATTGTGAGGGCCAAATGTCCTCATGAGCATAGTAAAACCAGAAAGAGAAAAGCAGCTTAATGAACTCATCATCTACCCTCATATACAGACTGTATAACTTAATGTTTTTGGCAGAATACAACAGAAGATATTTTGGAAAAATAAAACATATTTTTCCCCATACCGTGAAAGCCCCTAATATATATATATATACACACACACACATATATTTTAGCTGAAAAATCTAAACTTAGAAAATGAGAAAGCTTTTAAAAATGAGAAAAAATTAGAGTTCCTTGGCAACTAAATGAAATAAAATAAATTAAGCTCAAGTCTTAAACTGAAATAATAATAATTTAAAGCTAAATAGAATTATTAAAAATACTAAAATTACAAAATTACAATACCTTCCTCTGAACTGTATGTTTGTGTGTTTTAGCTTAAGTTTATGTGATCTAGAATAGTCAATAAATTTCATGTTTCATTTATAACTAATCAATTGTCTGGGTCATATAATTTCGTGTCAATTCTATTGCCAAAAGATCCTTGCTTGTTACCTTAGCTCGTAGCTTACGCATAATAATTACCTCTCTTTCAAGAGCTGACAAATCATCAAATTTTGTATTTCACCCGTGGCCAGGGAGAATACAAAATTTACATATTCAATTGGTAATATACACTGACATCAGCTTCTCGCTGGCCGAGTAGCTGATAAAAGTATAAACTATTGAAAGTCAAAGTCAGTTTTGATCAGGTGGACCTCGAATTCTCAGATCGAGTTCTTTTAAAACCTGAGCTAGAAATAAACCTGAATGAATCAATAATGATTAATTCCCTTACAACTAAGTAAATTATTACAGCTCATTCAAAACCGTAGAAATCAGTGAAAAGTAGGAAAACTAATGTACTTATCAAACCAGTTCAAACACACAAGCACACATACTGTATATACTCACACACTTGAGCTCTGTTATTGCTCCTTATTTGTTGGGCTTGATACTTATTCATTAAGAAAAGGTCATGTTATTCTAAGGGCTAACATTGGAGGAATATATCCTGCCATTAACATGTGACAAAGCAGCTCTGACATGGGCCAAGAATGGCCTGCGGGAGAAACTTGATCACACAGAGAGTCCATTTAATTTAATATGAGATCATTAAGCATTTTTTTTCTCGCCTTTGCACTCATTTCGAGCACACATTAATTTTGGGTCTCGGCACAGAAGATGCTTCATAAGCAGTTTGTTCTTTCCAAATTGGCAAGGACACATAATGCAGGTGAGACTAGCGGTGGCAGTACAGGGAATAATCAAAGACTCTGCCAGGAGCAGAAACAAGCATCCTGCCCCTGAATGATTACAGTGATTGTGTAAACCCAATGAGAAAGATCATGTGCCATGATAGATCAGGGAGAAGCTATCTCTCTCTATAGTTCACGAAAGCTGAGCTCAAAGCCATCTGCTAAATAAAGAAGAAGAAATAAACACTGAGAGAATGTGAGAACGAGAGAGAAATGTTTAAGAAGGTTGCCATGACAGGGATTGATGCAGTATATAAGGCAGTCAGTAAGACACAGTTTAAAGAAGGAAATATTTCATTATTTATTTCGTTTTTTTTTTTTTTTGCTCTGTTGCAGAGGTCCAGGTGATAGACCTTTGAAGAACTGGGGCTTTGATGGTGATAAATTGACATGTCTCTCTCTCTCCCCCTTTACTTGGGTTGGCCGTGGTCTAGTTTTGGAGTGACATAAGAGATGTGGAGAAGAAAGGCTGCAGCTACATGGTTAGAGAGATAGTGTTTGTATGGAACATGGTGATTGAGCCCAAAGAAAGGCTTGTGTGTGTTTGTGATTCTGCTCTTAGATCTGAGTCTGACTCCATCTGTAATCATATTAAATGTTTTTGATGGTGTTAATGTATCCCACCAGTCAAAAGTTTGGAGTCACTTGATTCAATTTATGTTTGTCATGGTCTAACGTTTTGCCCTCAAATCTTGAAATTAGTTTTGCAGAGAAAAAAACTGTGCCTATGGATGGATTTCTTCACTACAAAACATACCATTTCAATTTATATTACATACATCAATCCATTCTCCAAACCACTTGTCCTATGTAGGGTTGTGGGAAGGATGGAGCTGATCCCACCTGGATCGAAGCAGGGTAATTATATTAATTAACTAAAACTGAAACCATAAAAATGCATTTGTTACTTCTCTCTCTCTATATATATATATATATATATATATATATATATATACTAAAATAACTCCAACTAAAACACAAATTATAAATAAAAATGACAAAACACAACAGAATTACTAAAATGGAAAATATAAAAAAATAAATAATTCAGATTTTTAATAAAAAATATAATAGTATCTCAGTGATGCTAAAATAAAAGCCAGGGCCTTCTTGTGGTGAGGCAACAGTGCTATCCACTTTATTACCCCATTTATTATTTAATTTCATTTCATTTAATTTATGGATAAATTGGACCAAATTGGGAATAAAATAGTAGCTAACAAGTGTCCATTATACTGTACGTGGGACCTCCTTCAATTTTGTTAAAATGTATACTATTATATAACAGCTGTATGACAGGTGCATATTCAGTGTGTATGAAGCTCTTTGGAACTTTTAGAACCAATAAATATGGATAATAGTAATAGTTAAGGAAGGAGAAAACATTTGACTGCTACTGTAATCTTTTAACCTAAAAGAAGTCAGGACAAGGGTGTGTTATTGACCTGAACACAGACTGTGTGGCTTGTAAAAATACATGATTCTTTACTACATATCGACAAATTCTGATGTTTCCATCCATCTGTCCTGGCCAAAACATTCCCTCTTTCAGTTTATAACACCTCTGCTTCTGTAATTGTTTTTGCTCCATAGAGTATTGATTGGCTGAGTACAAATGAAAGGTGATTGTGTCTAATAGGATTGTGGCTCACTTGGACACTGTACAAGGTCAGTCCCTGAGCAGGTGTATGATGGGAGACATCATGCAGCGTCGACTTCGGCAATGCAACTTTCATCAGTGTGGGATTATCCTTATTAGCTGTTCCCATATTCCCACCGATAATGAAGTCTAATTATTTCTGGCGCTCCCCCAAAGCAACAAGAGATGGATTTTCCCGCAGCAGCAGGAGTGTACACTTCCTAAAACAACACAAGAATATGTCAACACATTGGTGAAGGACTGTATGCTTGCTAATTACCACCTCGCTCTCAATATCTAATGTGGGACAGTTCATGACAACTGTGATGATGCATCACCCTATCAGGCTACTGTATCCCTTTCCAAAGACTAATGCAATTAGAGTCCTGTCTACTTATAATTCAGCTGAACTCTTCATCGTAGGCATCTTGTTATGAGGTCAGGCACTTGCACTAGTGTATTTCCGCCAGCCATTGTCTTCTGTTTATTTTCTACATTAACGGGTTAACCACTTAATGAAAGTGGCGGGATGCTAATTAGGCATGGCTAGGCAAGATAATGCGATACAACATCATTCTGCGAGCACAGACTATCCAGAGGCTGTCTCCTTGTGTTTTATCTGACCTCCTGTTACTGTATGTAAAACTGAAACATTTCTAATCATTTTTTCTCTTTGTCTTTACAGGTGGAAAGAGAAATAGCTATTCTGAAGCTCATAGAACACCCTCATGTTTTGAAGTTGCACGATGTCTATGAAAATAAAAAATATTTGTGAGTATACGCCACTTTTGTTTATCCATGCACCGTGCAATGCATGAAATGAGTGCGTATGAGTGGCGGATAAACTCTGTATCTATACAGAAGAGCAGACGCGCTGATATCCCTGGATATGTGTGCAAGCTACAGTGGCTGGGCTTAATGTAGTTTTCAATAATTGATAAAAGAGCCACCATGGATGCAGCTGAGGAATTTGTTTTCTTAATATTCAGATGACACAGATGTATGGGCTGCATGCCTGTAAAGTAGAACATCTTTACACACACAAATCAAGTATGAATCCATCCTTAATTTAAATATTTCTGACAGGTAATCGCATGAGAAAATCCTTTAATCGACTAATAAATCAGACGTCTGGTGTGTCAGTGAGTGTTTGCGTGTGTGTTCAAATGTGACTGGAGTCACACTGGAGTATGACATAAATGTGTTTGCCGATCAGACAGGCCAATTGCAGGAAGATATTTTGCACACATTTACACGTTCACTCAAATGCAGTGGAGTCAAACATTCTGAGACTTCATTGAAAATGTGGGAAATGCATTTTTTATTTTTTTTTATTTTATACCATGCGGTGAACCGAAAGATTTGGGAATTTTAAACATTATGATGTTTAATAGATTATTTAAATAAATTACATTTATTCAATTTGACTTTTACTCAAGTTATATTCATAAATGTTGTAATTAACAATTATGTAAAAAAAAAAAAAAGCAAAATAGAAGCATGTTCACTAGTGGTTTCAGACTATTGGAGCCCCCTGTAGATTTCCATTCAAGAGTTTGGGGTCAGCACTTTTTAAATTATTTATTTATTTATTTTTAAGAAAGTAATTTTTTAGGAAGGATGCTTTAAATTGGTCAAATGTGACAAATACTTTTTATTTCTATAAAAAAAAAAAAATTTTACTTCAAAGAAAAAAAAAATATCACAAGTTCCACAAAAATATTAGGTAGCACAACTGTTTTGACAATGACAATAATAAGAAATGTCTTAAGCTTCTTGAGCACTAAATCAGTGTATTAGAATGATTTCTGAAGGATAATGTGACCCTGAAGACTGGAGTAATAGCTGCTGAAAAGTTGAAAACCCAAAGATTTGTCATCATGGGAATAAATTATATTTAAAATATATTAAAATAGAAAGCAGTTCTTTTAAATTGCAATGAAAATTTCACAATATTACTGTTTTATTGTGTTTTTCCTTTTAATGTGTTATTGGCAAAAATGAAGCCTTGTTGAGCATATAAGAGACTTCTTTCAAAAACAAAATTTTACTGACCACAAACTTTTGAATGGTAGTGTATATTTTATATTGGCATGGTAGTAGATCTGTCCTGGTAGTTTGAAGCGTGTCAGGATTTCTTACTGCTACTGCTTATCTTTCACAGATATTTGGTTCTAGAGCATGTGTCAGGTGGAGAGCTCTTTGACTACCTGGTAAAGAAGGGCAGGTTAACACCCAAAGAGGCCAGGAAGTTCTTCAGACAGATCATCTCAGCGCTGGACTTCTGCCACAGCCACTCTATATGGTAATAGTTCTGGATTTTATTGCTGTGTTAAAATCTTTTCAGGAAATCAAAATCCTTCATTTTGAGCATTTAAAGCTTGGCACACTCTCATTAGTTCAGTTCAACAAGTCAAATGTGTTGGTTTTGTTGCTGCTACCAGTTTTTGTCTGTATTCATACATCATGTATAGTCATCAGCTGTTGTTGTCCGGCGTTGTACTGCTGTTGTCTCATTTATTATGTGTGGTGAAAGCCACCTCAAATGAAGCATTTTTCAGTCATTACTAAGCATTGTTGTGAATACTAAATATCGTTATATTGACAAATTAATATTTTGCACATTTGCACAAGTTTCCAACCACACACTTTCTGGGTCAAAGACTGATAGCTCCCCTCCAGTGCAACTACAGAAAAGTACCGTTTTTTACACAGAGTTTATCCTCAAGCCTTTCTCTCCACATCTTTGAGATATAAATGAAAAATGTGCTCAGATTTCCTCTGTACGCTTTCTCTCTGTCTTTTCTGATTATTGAGCCAAAAGGGTTTCAGTTAACCGTACAACAGAAAAAAATTTTTAGTTTTTGCCTTCATATACAGATCCCGAGATTTTAAACCAATTTTAAGTTGAAATACTGAGAAGCAAATCCTTCCTCTTTACTGCAGCGTAGTTTCTCATTATCGAAACGGTAATTATGAAGCGTAGTATGATAATGAGTTGACCTACCCAAAAATACGAATAATAGGGGCATTTTACAGAGGTATTTAAAAAGAATTTAGTTCAGTTTTGTTAATGAAAAAACTATTCATGTTTTATCTTGTCTTGCCATTGGATCAAGACAGAATTTATTTAATTAAAAAGAAGCAGCCAATAGTTGCATCAGGTTTATTATTATTCTTTTATTAATCAGTGATGTTTGGATTGCCATTTTTGATTTACCTTTAGATCTTTTAAAACCACATACATTACTTAAAACAACAAACATAATTTTTTTATTTTAAATGATTTAAAGTGTTTAATTTGTTTATACTACAGTTAACTAATTTTTGAACTGGACATGATGTGGAAATAAAAAGCTACCAATTCATAAAAAGTAATTAATGTGGTCAATTTTCAGAATTTCATATTGTTTTCATATTGATTATTATATAGCAATACGTAATGACAATTCCCCTATCAAGATTTTATTTTGTGACTTTAGGATACAATCTTACATTGTGTTGGAAAAAAAGTGTGGATTTTACTTAAATATTTTATAAATTTAAATGATCCCTTTTCAATAAGTTTGAACCTGTCCAACGAACATAGTATTACTCTACATAACTTCATAAATCATACATCAGAACAGTGACAAACTAGACAGTTGGATGGCAGCCTGTTTTCCACTGTAGTCCTAAATGTTTCATTTAAGAGAAGTTCACTTTACAGGTGAATTCCAAACGGAAGTGAGCATCCCTATGCCCTACTCCCTTCGAAGGGCAGAGCCCTTGTAGTGCGTTCTTTGAAGGGTGCAGGGCATTACTGTCTCGTATAAGTGTTTGGAACTCCCTTGACCAAGGGAATGACTGACCAAATGTTACCTTGACAACGTTGCTCATGCGTGCAGCATTCAGCACTCAATCACTTGTTGGAAATAAATAAATATTTCTTATTATTATTTTATTCAATTAATTGTGTCTCATTTACTATTAAACTTTTTCAAACTAAACTTGCTCAAACTTGCTTACACTACCATCTTAAATCATATTTTTTATCACTGACGAAAATTATTTTGTATTACATCAAAATAGACAAATTTAATTAGCCTATTCTATTTACGTTTGTATGTGAAGTCGAAATCAAGCCCAACTTTGCTTTAAAAAGCATCGCAAGATCACATGATCACAAACGGAAATCACTTCCGTGAAGTGACCATCGCATGTTCCCTTCGCTAACGGACTTCTGGAAGGGCCCTTCGTGAAGGGATTCAATTGTTCACTTTCGTTTGGAACGTCCTTACAAATGGCATCCCCTTCCCGAAGTGCTCTTCAAGGGCGCAGAAAAGCTGTTTGTAATTCGCCTTAATTTTTCACAACCTTAAGAGCTATCTCTAATGGTAATAATGTTTCCATTTGAATTCTCACGACCATGTCCTCTTCATATGCTAATATACTAATGCACTGGAGGGGCAGCCATTAGCACAATATTTGCATCTGTTTACCATGCACTTCAGCAGACGCACAGCCTAATGAAGACTGCCGCATGCTTCCAGCACAGCTCAACTAGCTGATGGATGGTTTGAAGGCCTTTCTTGATAGGTGATGGAAGGCACTGAATAAACAGCATAGCAGGGAGGCATCACTCGTTTTCTCTTCTGATCATTCACAGCCATTTTCCTCTCTGGGGTTTGAAACCTCCACAGATAATGTGCTGTATTGATAGCCTTCTGCTACCACTATATTCACAGGGATACAATTATGGCTTTCTGGCCCCACTGTGAGGACAGGCAGAACGACTAAAGTCTGAATCATGGCTGTCACAAGCGCTGTCAGGTACACAAGGCCTTTAGACAGAAGAAAAGAGTTGAACCAAGTTAACTGAAGTCTAAGTAACTGGGTCTGAACCTCACATGGGTTTTCTCTGTTTATGTAAGCAGTTCCCAGTGTATGGATGTGAAGATTGATATATTTTTGGTGAATTTTATGAGGAATGCTTCTGGCTACATGCATTAGCAGTGTGAGTGCTGTTTTGCCCTGTTGAAAGTGTGAGAGTTGATTTGATTATTGGTACATTTATGCAATGTTGCTGCTCCATTCTAGAATGAAAGACAGATGTAGAGGTCAGCAGTGCAGTCTGAAGTGCATATTGGCATCAAATTTAATGAGTAGCCTATGTAGGTTGTGATTGTAGGTTGTGTGGAGGTGTGCGATTTCTTAACTTTAGTTCTAAGATGAACTGTTTTTTTTATGGCAGTAGTTATTGGTTGGCATATTTCAGTGCTTTAAAATATGGGCTGTGTGTACAGAGATGAATGTGCAATTCCGGGGGCATAGAAATTAGGACAACACATAGAGAAAGGCACAGAGAGATATTGGTGGCCATTAAAACCTCAACAGATGGACCTCAGTCAGGGTAGATAGCATATTTCATTATACGTGAATTAAAACGACGCTGTGATCTGTGTTTATGTCACAAGGTTCTAGGTTATATTGTGTTTTCTGGACTTTTTTTGTATACTGGAAAATTTTTGGAAAGACATATTTGCGATACAGTACCTCATGTTGAACAGACTGTATGTCTATTCCTTACAGTCTCTCAAACATATATTATTTAAGCAGTCTTTTTTTTTGTGTATTTAAGACTTTTTTTCAGTTATTTTATATATTGCCGATTTAAAGCAGTTCTCATTTTGTCTCTCATAGTTGAGGTATACCTATGATGAAAATTACAGGCCTCTCTCATCTTTTTAAGTGGGAGAACTTGCACAATTGGTGGCTGACTAAATACTTTTTTGCCCCACTGTATGTACTGGATCTATGATATATTTACTTCTAAAGCAGTGGTCCTCAATTCCAGTCCTTGCGACCCCTTGTTCTGCACATTTTGTATGTATCTCTCATCAATTCAGACATTTGTTCTATTTGACTGTAAGTTAGGGTGACCATATGTGCCATTTTTCTGATACAATTCCTGGCCAGGATTTCTATATTGCCTAAAATATGCAGGTATTGCCTTTGTTTGTGCTGTGTAGACTGATCTTTGAATGACCTCAAAGTACCGTGAGAGCTATAGAGAGCAGTCGGCTCCTTGTGCTTTTGAATCGCTCTTGCGGTACTTTGATGTCAAACACCGATCGGTCTGCACAGCGCTGCTTCAAGTCGAACACACCTAATATGTACGTGTATTTGCATCGCTTTGACTCTTCTCTGTAGATCCCACCTTCTCACACACCACGATTGATCGATTACGTACAATGCCTGCATGCTATTGGTCAAACTACTTTTTTTAATCATTACCTTCAGCAAGTATGAAAACAGGAAAACAAAACCTGGATATTTTAGGCAATATAGAAATCCTGGCCAGGACGTGTCCTGGAAAAATTGCACTTTTGGTCACCATACCGTAAGTGCTCTGCGAAGTGGACTTCACAGGATATTCCACCATGATTCCAGTTCAAAGGGAACGTATATTTTCCATTGAAAGGGCATTAAAGTGTGCAAGACGTGAATTTAAATTGTATTTATTTACAGAGGTGTATTATGTCACACTTCACACTTCTCTAGTAAGTTTCATCTGTGTGAAGACGCTGCAGGCAGAGGTGTAGCGCAAATCCGTGAATAAATATTTCCCGTGCTCAGTGGAGTAGGGAGCAATGAACATTGTGTAGGGAGTCGGGACCCTGTCAGTTGGAACACAGTTCATGCACGGAGCTCTTTTCTAACAAGCTGATGATCTGAATCAGGTGTGTTAAATAAAGGAGAAGAATGAAGAGCGGTGGTACGCGAGGACTGTTCTAAAGGAACCATGTAGGAACACACACACACACACACACACATACTGTGTATATATATATAGGGCTGTCAATAGATTAACATTTTTAATCAGATTAATAACACCCTTTATGAAATTAAGCATAGACCATTTATCTTGTTTCAAATGGTTATTTTGTCATCATTTGCTATATTCAGCAAAGTAAACCAAAAGATTGAAGGGTGATTCTCAAAAATCTGTATTTTCTGCAAGCTTTTCTCAGGATAAGTGTAGATGTCTTTCCAAAAAAGGACTCCAAAAGGACACCAAAGAACCAAATGATATAAGGAGCCCATATAAGCACATATGAAAGAAAAGTAAAATGCAATTACTATATATATATATATATATATATATATATATATATGTGTGTGAATTGTATAGTATGTGTACAGTGCTACAGCAAATAGCTGTTTTACATTTTAGAGAAGTCAAGTTGCGTAACCGAACAGGACCACATGGTGATGCCAAAAAATCCCTAAACCAACCGCCTGCTGACTGCATATATCTACTACAGTACACGGATCAATTCCATATAAATAAACACAGCAACATAAGCATGACAAATCAAACCATTATCATAAATGTGTGTGGAAACAACATGAATGTACAGAAATCAAGAGCACTCATACGCACGCATTAACATAACGGACTCACGCGTGCTTACTGTACGACTCCTGTACGCCACCGCAATTGTCTCGTCTTTACCTTGATTGCAGTCTTCATCCATCAAAACTTTACTAGCGAGACTGGTTATCCAGTCGAGAAAACAGTGTGTACTTCACACAGCGTGACGTGTGAGGGCTCGCGCTCTTCAGAGACAATCACAGAATATGACAGAGCTCGTGTTCAAAAGCGAATCACACTGGAATTAATAATTCACTGAAGATGCAACGCGAGTCTCTGTTCTCTCTGCAATCTCTGATGTAATCAGCCTGGTTTCCTTTATATTAGTGCTGTTTTGGACGGATTGTTTGAATGCATTCACTTACTGGATCATTGGACTGAAAACTTTCCTGGAGTTTAGCAGCTTAAAATTGTCTGATCGCAAGCAGAGAAGCAACAGTAATTTTGCGTTAATTGCATTAAATTATTTTAACGCATTAAGGATTGTAAAATGAATCGCATGCGTTAAAGCGTTAACGTTGACAGCTTTATATATTGACCTATATATATATATATATATATATAGAAACAGCAACCTCACAGCGGGGACACTAGTATTCTCCTCAAAAACGGATTGTGTTTAGTGGTTCCATGAACTTCTACTTTGTCAGGGAAGATAATGACCACCCATTTCACACAGCTCCATACCTACGTAAAGTGTAATGATGGAGGACCAGAGAGAAAGCGCACTAATGTGAGCATAATGGAAGGTTGGCTGGACACCTCAGTTTCCACAAACCACTGATGCCCTGTGCCATTAAATGCCATGTGCACTTTAATAAGGGGGGAAGAGCCCAGTGTCTGGGGGTTTTGAGGAAGGTTGTTGAAAAATTAACATATACATTTATAAAATCAAATCAATGCCCACTCCTTGTTTTTTTATCTATATTGATCTCTCAAACCATAAGGTCAGAACAGAGTTGGTGGCTGGTATGTTTTGGCATCTAGTTTGCCTAATAGAACAAAGCATCTTCTTACTGAAGCTGTTCACTTTCATTTTGATGCCTTTTCATCCTGAGCATTCATAATTAGACATCACATAATGAGACTTCCTTGCACTTCAGGCATTATAATGTGAGAAGGAGCAGCAAAATGGCTTTAGAGTTGGGGGTTAAGTGCTTTTATAGGTAGGAGTACTTCATGTTTTTATAGAATATTTGCAGGCTTGATTTGTATAGCACCAGGTTACTGTGTTTAAAACAAGCCAAGGAGTTTATTTTTGAAAGGACGTTTATGATTTTGTCTGGCAATACTTGCAGTCCCTGATACCCAGAGATCATGCAGTCGGTCCTGCTTCACTCATTCAGTCTCTTGCTGGCAGCTAATCAGAAGAGCATCTCAGTAAACACACACTAGTATTGACCGGGACCCGCATGCTATCTTTCCATTACCGAGAGCTCCTCCTTCTGCTTGGTTGCCTTGGTATGGGAAAGATGAATCAATCGTTGTAGTAAAGAACTTTATTGCTGGTATGTGTTTAACCTTTGCAATAACTTAGTTATTGCTGGGTGAATAGACACCAGGTCTTTTATAGCTGGTGCCTCCAGCAGTCACATTTTTTGTTTTATTATTATTATTATTATTTTGCATCATCTCCAACATACTGTACAGAGCCTTTTTTAGATGCAAATGTGTGCATTTTAAAAGCTACGCTTACTGCTAATAATGTATTGATTGTGACGACGTAGTACTACTTGAGAGTTGACTACAATGCATTGATAATAAGATCCCTCTCTGACTGTCTTCCTATCTTGTGATCAAGTAATTAGGTGCCTGGCAGATGTTTTCATTTCTGATGTTGTTCACTAAGGTTGCAGATGGTTGATGAGTTCTCAGAACGGTTAGGGTTGCTTTGGTGCAGTTGTAGTTATTGCGGCAAAAGGAGGAGGAGGACAGTATTTCTGGTTCAAGTCACGTTTCTATCCCACCAACAATTATTGGACAGTTGTTGTTGCCAAATCATCCCAAATGATGAGCTTCAGTAAATGCACATTGGCTCACAGGTCACGATCAGCTGTCTTTTGAAAGATACTTGAGATGTACAAGCTGCTTTTTGATCTCTTGGGCCGAAAATGGTCTTGTGTTCCTCGATCACTTGCCCGCTCAGGATGAAAGAGGCTTCGCTCCTTGACACTGACAAAGAAAGCTCTGCATTTTTATCTTCAGATCAGAGGATTTCATTCACAATGGTAGAGAGTATAAAGATGTTTCCCATGATGTCTGATCAAGAGATTTGGGGCTAAGTCTGATACTGGCAGCTTAAATAAGCAATAATAAATTTGGTTAAGCTGGATCATTTAATAAAAAAAACCCACAAACATCTTTATAGATCCATTTGCTCACTGGAGGTTTACACGTCAACCGTAGTTTAGTTTTTCAAATATAATTTTTCCCCCCGCAAATATTAATAAGCAGCGAATCACTTTGGTTAAAAGTATTTTTTTTATGAGAATTAATAATGAAACTTACTGCAGGGCAACTTATTTTTAAGGATTGTATTTTCTTCATTATGATATCAGGACATATGTGATACATTTGTGATATTATGATACCCTGACACTTTTGACTTTATGCCAAAAATAAAACAAATAAATATATAGATTAATTAATTAAAAACATGTTCCTCATAGAGGTGTATTCAAGTCATTATTTGAATGAATTGCAATTTCAGTGTATTATAAATACATTATAATGCATTAAATAAATTAAATTAAAGAAAAATACATAACATGCCATTGACCCTTATACCATAGACTAAGAGACACTTAAGAAAGCTGCTAATGTGGAGAGGTTTATAACTTAAGCATTTTGTTTTGTAGCCACAGAGACCTGAAGCCAGAGAACCTGCTGCTGGATGAGAAGAATAACATCAGGATAGCAGACTTTGGAATGGCTTCTCTACAGGTTGGAGAGAGTCTCTTAGAAACCAGCTGTGGGTGAGTCATACTCTGTTTTCCTGCAACAATTACCTGTAATAATTTACTTATTTGTAAGGGAATTAATCATTATTAATTCATTCAGGTTTATTTCTAGCTCAGGTTTTAAAAGAACTCGATCTGAGAATTCGAGGTCCACCTGATCAAAACTGACTTTGACTTCCAATAGTTTATACTTTTATCAGCTACTCGACCAGCGAGAAGCTGATGTCAGTGTATATTACCAATTGAATATGTAAATTTTGTATTCTCCCTGGCCACGGGTGAAATACAAAATTTGATGATTTGTCGGCTCTTGAAAGAGAGGTAATTATTATGCGTAAGCTACGAGCTAAGGTAACAAGCAAGGATCGTTTGGCAATAGAATTGACACGAAATTATATGACCCAGACAATTGATTAGTTATAAATGAAACATGAAATTTATTGGCTATTCTAGATCACATAAACTTAAGCTAAAACACACAAACATACAGTTCAGAGGAAGGAAAGTCTGTTAACGGAGTTCTGAGTTTCATAGTTCTCTCTCTTTTCACGAGGGATGGGAATTCACCTTAAGAATTCACAGAGCAACGCATCTAAATTCACCCGTTCAGCAGATCATAGAAAATGTTGTTTACTTGCGTTCCGCGGGTTGACAGCTGAGGTGACTCCGGGGTGCTGCGGGCTTCCTGGAGGTCTTTGAGGGAAACCCCGTCACTGACGGGTCGGTGACGTCAGTATGATGTCCTTTGGGGAACCCCTCGTGAGTTGTGATGACGCAGAGGCGCAAGCAATCTGCTGAGAGTCTTAGACTTTCAAGTTTGTTGACGATTTCAACGAAGTATCACTGAAGTGTTGAGTTTTAGTTTGCTGGTCGCTTTTGATGGTAAATGTGAGCACACGTGCAGGTGCTCTAACACAGCGACCAGCGAGAGCCGGAGAAGTTGCAAGCCAGCTAGCTAACCAAAAAACCCCGGATTCTGTTCTGCATTCGGGTTTTGCTCTGTGGCATAAGTCCGTCCCCTGACGCTGGCTTCCAATCGACTTCTTAAAGGGGCGGAGTGTGCATACATTAACCAGAGACTCTCATTTATATGAGGCCACCTATAATAATATATTGATACGTCTATAAAGTCTCTTAAATGCAAATATTGTACATACTATTAAAGTCTACTTCATTTCAACCTTCTGCATTTCTGGTTTTCATTCGTTCAAGATTAAACTTCACATATTACACAGTTTAATATCCTTAATTCCTAAAAAGGGGTAATTAAACACTGGTTAAAGTTGCACCGATTACATGAAACACGTCAAGCATATATATATACACATACAACCTACTATTTGTAATTCTATGCTCTGATCATTTTATACTTTCAATTATTAGCAAACGATTGTCAAAGACATCTTGTCTCTTTCCTTGGAATGCGGGGGAAAAGTGTCGAGTCCTCCGGTCACTATCAGGTCAGCTCTGGACATTTCCTGGAAAGTCTCCTGCTGGCCAGGGAGCCATAAAATTGTCTCTTTTGTTGATCGGAGTTTAGCAATTTATGCGTCCACTGGTCATGAGGGTATTTCTATCTGCTCTTTGCAAGCCCGTAAAACCATTTTAAGCACCGTTAAAGTACTGTCCTTTTTAGCCTATCTTGAGATATAGCCAAACAGTCCAGGGAATGCTTTCACCTTACTCGCTGGAGCATGAGTTTTACGACTACAGATGCGGGGAAGAAATGAACCTCAACAACCTTCCATGGAATGAGCGAGTTTGATGTGTGTGTCTCCATCATGTAGGTGGGTCTGTTGTGAGACAGATCCTACATACCAGTACACTTGAAAGTTTCTCGCAAAACAAGAATTTCATAATCGGGTACAATTTTGCTTCATTTGGCTAAAAACAGTGCATGCTCATGCAATTGTTTGATTCTGTTCAGATCAAAATACCAATCAAAGCATAAGGTTTGACTTGCATAGACAATCCCTTCACATTAAATGGCCATTGAGAAGAATAGCATCATCTTGAGATGATAGTAAGACATCTGGATAATGCATGAGTTGAAAACTAGCAAAATCACTCCCATTAATAGTTTAACACACAAATGCACCTCTTGGTTTATTTGCATGCTTCATTATGAAAAGAGCTGGAGAAATGGCTCCATATTAACAACTGATAGCTATATCTGAAGGACTAAGTCTTGCATTGAGACACTCGGCTGGGCCTGCTGCCACTAAAGTACTTCCTGAACTGCTACTATTAGTGAAAATTATGAAGATGATGGCCTGACCTCACTCAGGCTTTCATAGTCCCTTTGAATGTGTAATGCATGCCATTAGAGGCCCCATTATCAATGAAAACGAGAGGGCTAGGTGCCACAGAGCAGAGCATATTATCTTAGATGTGGATTAATCAAGACTTGAAAATCCGCCCCGAGTGACCAGACCATAGCTTTGACTTCAGTCTGTGTATTTCTGCTCCTATTAGCCATCACTAAAATTGTGCCATGGCTTTGATGGTTTCCTTCAAAGAAGGCATGTTGTAATTATTGATTGTGACTTTCCCATCTCTAGACAGATACGACAGTTTTTAATTAAACACATTCATCTTTAGCCTTCTCGTATGCTGTCTGCTTGACACAAATGTATTTTGTTTACCACGGTTAATGGACTCCAGTTGAATTTGAAAGGGGCAGACCCCTTACGTGTGAACACAGCATGGCAGGAAGACCAACACGGAGCCTCCCAGTCATATCTATGTTCCAGACATTCATTCATTTGTATCTGAGGCTCATTCCTTGCTTAGCAGATGGACTGACCTAATTTTGAAATAGCTTTAGTTCTGAAAAGTATCTGCCATGTTTGCAACCCAGTGGTAATTTTGAGTGAAGGGGTGGTTACATAAAAATGTCCAAGGCTGCCTGGAAATCCAATCAATTTAATTAGATCCCCCTCCAGAACCTTAATTCAAGTGAAACTAGATCCCCCAAAACAGTGCAAAATTCCCTAGTACCACAGGTCCTATTTGGACCATTACTCTGGGTCCCCTAAGCTTGCAAGTTTGATAATAACATCAAAGAAACCTTTCTTTGCCACTTTTGTTCTCTGAGGCATAACCAGCACTAGCTAACTAGCACAAAGTCAGATTAGCTTAGAGTGAAAACCATGCTAATGTCAAAAGAAAAAGAGTTTTATTTCACTGTTTTTGACTCTTTAACCAGTTTGCCCCTAAGTCAGAACAACAGTGCTTGAGAAATAACAGAACATATCTTCAAAAAATCATGAACCACATCTTGGACTAGATTAGTAACTCCTCTCCATCAGGGTCTTTTCACAACAGCTTAATCGCCTCCTGTGGCTTCCCTGATTTGCCATATCAATCCTGCCTCATGTTCCTATCATAGGGGATATCCATGATGCGCATGCAGAAATCAGGCTTCTGCAGAAATTCTTATTTCAGTGATTGTGGTTTAGTTTGCATGATTATGAGGTGGAGAGTACGGTATCTGTTTGTAGTGCACACGTGAATTTCTCAGTATGATCTTATAAACATTTTCATCGCTAGGGAGTAGCATTTGTAAGGTCATATCAATTAACTAAATGCCCTGTCATAGGAGACTGGTTTTTAAAGGGTACACATACAGAAATTCGACTGCAGTATTATAAAAAATGGTAACACTTCACAATAAGGTTCAACTTGTTAACATTTTTTTAATTTTGGAGTAGGTTTTTTGGTAACACTTTGCAATGCATTTCAATTCATGTTACTTAATACATTAGGTATCATGAACTAACAATAAACTAACAATAAGCAATTATTATTATTTTAGCAGAATTTATAAATCTAGGTTAATATTCATTTATAAATTTAGTAATACATTTTTAGCATTTAAAGTTGTATAAATTATGCCAAATTTACACTGCAATGATGGCACAAAAGCGCTTCAGAAGTGCCATTTAAGTGTCTTTACTAAGAATTGGCATACATGTATTTACAAAAGCAATTACAGCTGTATACTTTGATAATAGAAGCTGAGGTGGGTCAAAGGAGGCATAATTCAGTCTGGCTTTTATGTGGCATTATGTCTTTACTCTGAATTTTGAGTAGGCATCGAGCAGCCCTAACTTGGCTGCGTAAAGACAACTTTAGATTACATATTATGAATGAATATGATTTAACTACGAAAAATAATATATTTATAAATTAACATTCACCTAGATTAATAAATTCTGTAAAAATGTTGTTCATTGTTATTTCGTGATATGTAATGTTTTTACAAGTTGAACCTTATTGTGAAGTGTTACCATTTTTTGATAATATTGCAGTCGAGAAATGAATGTGCAAAGCAAATGTGTGTATGCGTACTCAGACGTATTCACAGAAACAATATTACTTTGTTTCATCACATTATTTTTTAGCTTATATGTCTTTCCACCCAGAATGATTGAGGCACCATCTATGTATAAAATGGGCACAGAAGCACTGAAATTATTGAGTGAGAGCATGTTGCATTAACGACTTAATTTAGTATAAAAACCTTGCAATTTGGTGTTGGAAAACAGCAATGATATCTTTCTCTACTGTGAGCAGTAGTTATGTTTTTAAAGCAGAGAAAGTAAACCGTTAAATTTATGTTTTATCAATACACACTCAATCAACATAATGGTATATGACACCTGCAATGAAACAGGCATGTATAGAAAATTGGTGTTGAAAAATAGTGAACTGCTTCTGAATATGTGCCATGCCGTTAAAATACATTACACAATTCAGATTATTACAGAGCTGTTTTACACATTCCCAGGAGAAAGTCATTACAATTTAATGTTGTATTATTGGAACATTTGACAACAGCATGTATAGGGTGGTTAGACATAGAGCTGTTTGTCAGAAAAGATGGTGTGAAGATCCTCATGCAAACACAAGGAGTTATTACTGAATTAGTGTCCTGCATGTTTCTTCTCTAATGGGTGTTTTTGCCAAGGTTGGGTGAGGATGATGATGACATATTGTCCTGTTTTCTTTCAGATCCCCTCACTATGCCTGCCCAGAGGTTATAAGGGTAAGTATGTGCTCTCAGTGGCATCTCTCATGATGGGACTTCCTCTGAATCGCTTTCTTTCCACTTCTAACTTCTCTCTCTGGTAGGGGGAGAAATATGATGGCAGGAAAGCTGATGTATGGAGCTGTGGAGTCATTCTCTTTGCACTTTTGGTGGTGAGTGAATGCTTTTCGTGGCAGAAACTTCATTCTGTGTCATATAATTCTGCTGTAATGGCCCTCTGTCCTTATGACAAATTTCTCTCAGCAGCATGCATTGGAAAAAAAGAAATCCCCTGTGTTTGAATGAAGGTCTTTCAAAGGATGTGGGAGAATCCAATGATATTTCAGTGCTAAGCTAAGCAAGAGTTGGGCTTTAAGAGAATCAAGGTGTTATACCGGCTCTGTAGTCAGAGCTCAAAAAATTGACAATACCAAAGGTTTCTCACTTGTGAATCATCTTTATAATCAGACATGAGTGAGATCAGCTATTTTAATTCATCATGCTGAGCATTTTATGAATCCACTTTCATCTTCTTACTCTTCCTTAGACTGCAAAAGACTTCAAGTTCTTGGAGGAGGGAATTAATCAAAAATTCAAGTGGCATGTTCTTAACAGACATTTACAAATCTCAGTTTGTGGTAGGCTGGAGTTTTGATGAGGTCTCTTATGCTCACCAATGCTGCATTTATTTGATCAAAAATACAGTAAAAACTATATTGTGTTATATTATAATAATTTAAAATAACTGTTTCCTTATTTTTTATACATTTGAAAATGTATTCCTGTTTGTAATTTATTCCTGTGATGGCAAAGCTGAATTTTCAACAGCCATTACTCCAGTCTTCAGTGTCACATAATCATTCTAACATGCTGATTTGGTGCTCAAAAACATTTGTGTACTTTTGATCAAATAAATAAATAGTTTACATTGGTTACAACATGCATTACATTGTACAATAAATACATTTGTTTCTGAATTGCCAAAGTTTACACACATTATCAATTTAATACACTTTTGCTAACCTAGCCAAAATGAAAGCATAAAAAACCCTTTCATTTCTGAATTAAATACAATAATGTGTAAGTATATGTTCTGAATCCACCAAAAAGAAGCAGCAGATTTTGAACTGCTTATGACAGGTGTCACTGTCTTCACCTCACAGTGATTGGTTGCCATCCTGCTTTTTTTTCTCTCATTTGCATAAAGTTAAAAATTTCTTAACTTTTTGACATTCTCACTGCTTACTCGGCTCGGCTGTCAATCCCACAATCCTCCATGCAGCCTTGCTGCTTAGCTCCAGCAGAGAACAAACTGAAACTGCCCACTCAGCTCCGCACCAGTGGACATGTATGGTCACACCAAGCTGCTGATCAACTTTAGCAACCAGGAACCTGCTCTTTGATCTTTCAATGCTTGAAGACCTTTCATTAGAGATGCGATCTGCATCCTTTTATATTTATCATCTCTCTACTTTGCTAGTTTTTGCTAGATTATATAATCTATTACGTGGCCCTGTCGTCAGTCATGCTTTTGCATTTTCTGTCATTTATCAAGCTCTGACATCTCAGTAGTGGCAGGGGCCCTGATGGGTCTCTCTGATGTGAAAATTATGAAGTGTATCTGGCACAAAACAAAGCTAATTATCAAAGCACAATCATCTCTCTATGCCAGCCTTTTCTTGATTTATTTTGCATCCTACTTCCTGTGTAGAAATCCTTCATAAAGCTCTCTAAAATATGGTGGGGGTGTTTTATTTTTATCAACGCATTTATCACTCCTCTTCCTTCAATTCTGCCATTATTTGTTTATATACAGATCCATGCCCCTCTGTAATTCCAAATCTCAAGGGAAAACATGATTACACTGTATTTTTTTTTTAAAAAATGTGATAATATAATTTTTCAAGGAATTAATACTTTTATTCAGCAAGGATGCATTTAATTGATTAAAAGTGACAGTGATGACTTTTACACTGTTTCAAAAATGTATGTTATATATCAAATAATTCCTGCTCTTTTAATTCATCAAACAATCCTGAAAAGAAAATCACAGTAGCATAAAAATATTAAGTAGCACAATTGTTTTCAACTATAAGAAAAGTTTCTTGAGCACCAAAGCATCATATTAGAATGATTTCTGAAGGACCATGTGATGCTGAATGTAATGGCTAATGAAAATTCAGCTTTGCCATCACAGGAATAAATTACATTTGGAAATATATTGGAAAACGGTTCTTTTGAATGGTAATAACATTTCACACTATTTCTGGTTTTACTGCATACAAATACATGTAAAAGCAGCCCTGGTGAGCATAAAAGATTTTAAAAATCTTATCGACTTTAGCCATTGAAATATACATATTGGTTGACATTATTCTGAATATTGGGGGGATTTTGTCCCACACAGTATATATGATTGATTACAATTCTAACATGTAATATTTCTCTCTATCAGGGTGCTTTGCCATTTGACGACGATAACCTGAGGAACTTGCTGGAGAAAGTGAAGCTTGGGGTCTTTCACATGCCCCATTTCATTCCTCCAGACTGCCAGAACCTACTGAGGGGGATGATCGAGGTGGACGCCACCAAACGATTCACGGTCAGGGTCCAGCGTCATCGCGCTCAGATTTACAGTTTTATCTTATACTAACATCATTCAAATCTCGTAAAACCTGAATAAGAAAGATGAATTATCTCTTAAATGGCTCATGTGGCCTAAGGAATCATAGGTGGTGACAGCATTACATGTGCACTACACTGTCTACAGAAGCTGGTTGGCCGCTCAGTTCCACAGACATCTACAGTATATTAAGCTGATTTCTATTAAATTAGTGTTATGGGTCTGAGAGCTCCTCTGCTTTTGAGCTGTCACTCCAGGTCAACACAGAGCAGAACTAATCCAACCACCCTGTCTGTCCGGATCACACACATCAGCTTCAAAATGCTTGCGTGTCTACGCTTCTGTCTGTCTCTTTCTTTCTCTCTTTCATGGTCTCCTCGTCTCTCTGCTCTTCTCCCTCAGCTACTATTTTCATTGTTCTGCTTCGGAGCAGTGCCCCTTTTTCCTATAACATGCTGGAGTGATGAGAGGTTTATAAGCTTGTCCTAATACCAACCCTTTGAAATGCTCCAGTTTCCTTTTTTGCTTTCCAGAGAAAACAGATCACTGTCTTCACTGCCCACATATCTCAGTGATTGAAAACAATAGTGCTCTCCTAGGAAGGATCCAAACATAGCCCATTTCCTGTGCGGTTTGTCAGTTATATAAAAGAGATATTTTGTATAATTCCAGAGTGGGAAGGAAGTTGATACTATCTTATTGCCAGTTTGAAATATTATCTTATAGATCTAGTTAAAACAACCCAATAGAGTATTGCAGAGTACAAAAAGTACTACAGTTTTACAGACATCTGGATCAGTATTTCCCAACCACTGTGCTGCGGCAGAAAAAAGGTTGGGAAACACTGATCTAGACAATGTATCATCATTGTTTCTTGAACACTGTCACGTCAGCACACATTCAGGGGGAGATCACATAGAATAATATAATACTGTCTGTTTTGTTGTAGCACCTGATTCTCTAAAGGAATTTAAAGGCCCAAATCTGTGCTAAATACAGTTTGCACAGCACAATTTATGTATAACTGCAGATATTGCAGCTATATTGCTGATCGCAATCATTTCATCATCATTTGATTAAAGGGGTTATATGATGCGATTTCAATTTTTCCTTTCTCTTTGAAGTGTTACAAGCTCTTGGTGCATAAAGAAGATCTGTAAAGTTGCAAAGACTAAAGTCTCAAATCCAAAGAGATATTCTTTATAAAAGTTAAGAGTCAACCACACCTACCTAAAACGGCTCGTTCTAACACGCCCCCACATGTCTACGTCACGATGTGGGAAGATTTGCATAATGGCGCCCAAATGTTCACGCAAAGAAAGAAGGCGTAACTTTCATTCTCGCTGTAGTATTGTTGCTGCCGCCATGTCGTGAAGACGCTGTGTTTCATTGTGAAAGCGAAACTACTTTGTTTGGCCTTCCAAAAGAGGATGATATCCGCTTCGTCATGCCTAGAGCTGATCCGTGCTGGTCGCTGAGGAAATACATCAATTTCACGCTGTGGATCGCCAATCTGCTTTCACCGTGGACGAAGCGGAGTCCAGCGCAGGGTCGTCACATGTGGTTGCCGCAAGCCCGCCGGACGCTGCTTCGTCGAATCCGCCGGCCATGCCGTTCTCCTGCCCACCGGCCGTTCCTCACTCTAGCCCGCCAGCCTCCGCTCTCTCTAGCCCGCAGGCCGCAGCTCACTCAAGCCCACCGTGTGTGACGCTGTGTGTTTCGTTGTGAAAGCAAAACTACATTGTTTGGCCTTCCAAAAGAGGACACGACTAGAAATCAGTGGTTAAGTTGTATTTACAACACTGTTCCAGAACAGTTCAACAGTCAGGACTGTTTCCTGATCCTGGTAGAGTAGACTACAATGCCGGCTGTTCTGACTCACAGACTGTAAGTACGTTTTCATATTTAAAAGATTTTCCACTGACGATTCAAACGTGAGTTTTGAGCAGTGTAGAGTAGCGCTTGTTGTTTGTCATTTCTCCGATCACAAATGCAGACATGGTTTTATGTTTACGCGGCGCGATGCAACGCATAAAAAGACAGTATAAGTCATTATAGTCCATAATTATGTCCCCATTCGATGCAACAAATGCCTCATTTATAATGGGTTTGAATGTTTTTGTCTCGTTGCTCCGGCCAGACAGGGCATCACAGTATGGTAAGGGGCGTAACATTTCCATCACACGCTTGAGGTATTCAGCCAATCACAACGCACTGGGTAGCTGGCCAATCACAGCACACCTCACTTTTCAGACCGATGAGCTTTGTAAAAATCTACGCGTTTCAGAATGTACAGTATGTGGAAAATAATGTGTTTTTTTAACCTCAAACCGCATAAACACATTTCATTACACCAAATACACAAAATAATGTTCTTTTTAGCAACATCATGTGACCCCTTTAATTACTGCTGGCATCATCGATAGAAGATGCAAACATCTCTTTTAAATCAGTGGTTCTAAATATTTTTGACTTTAAAAAGTAAAAAATGTAGGCTAATGAGTAACAAAAAGTAATAAAATGTCGACACCAGACACATGAATTGCTGCCTTGGGCTCCGTATATGGCTCGGAGGTGTTCTTATTCAAATAGCTAGCTATCTACGTAGAAAATGGATGCAAATTGAAACAGCTTGACATGACAACGCTTCAGATTCAGACAGCCCATAACAAACTGGGTGCATGTTTTCTTTTCAGCTTTTCTGAGCTGGCAGACACACCAGAAACCTGACAAAATGCACAAAAAAAAGAAATCACAGCTTTAAAATTAGGCTTTGGAAATTTGGGCCCCCTAGTGGGTTTTTAAATGCCATCTCTGTGACATTAATAAGTGACATTAATTGTGGTAACTTTTGTGAAAAATATTTACAGTAAGCCTATTTTACATAGAAAGGAGCACTGAAAACTGGATATTACAGGTGGCTAGTGAATATGACGAAATACTGTGTGCAAAAGTGCTGTAACTATACAGTGAATTTTCTCCTCAGCCTATTCAGAGCCATAAAGTAAAATTATTTTTACTCTCAGCCGCAAGCAAGTATTTTGTTTGAACATTCCAGTTCAGTGTGTCATTCCTCACAGTTTCTTGATCAGGTCAAGTGCTGAATGTTTATAGCTCCTGAAAAGACGCACACCAGACACACATCTGTTGCTAACAACTATAGAGACTAATTTCAGTTCATCTTAAAGATTTTTCTGTTGGTATTACATGAACAGGCACAAAAACCATTCGCTCTGATGGGCTGCAGCTGTTAAGGCTGTTGTTCTTGTTTTGTGGGCCACAGCTTTAATTAGCTGGCTGCCGAAATGTACATGTCTTTGTAGCTTCCACACTTTAAACCCGGGGAGATCAGAGGATGCGACACGAGAGAGCGACAGAGAGAGAGAGAGAGAGATTAGAGACGGCCAGCAGGAAACTACCTGACGTTTAGAGATGGATTCATTGCTTTTATTGTCATGCTCTGCTGTCTTTGTTTGGCTCTGGTAATGGTTAGATAATGGATTGGCTCATGTGTTTTCCTCTCTTTACAGTTAGAACAGATACAGAAGCACACATGGTACATGTGAGTATAAACTTCACTTTTAGTTTTTTGTCATATTCAGTATCTGTTTGTGTGTTTGCGTCTATCCATGTATATACTGTATATGTGTCCTGTAAGTCTATGTGTCTGATCAGTCCTCACTGCAATAACTGAGAACATACAGTACAAAAGCAATGTGTGTGTGTGTGTTTGGAGAATAGGCTTAAATTCTAGCAGAATCCCAGCAGGCTTCACTCAATGTTCCCCATAAGCAGTGCCTTGTTTTTATCTTGCACTGCATCATTTTTCAACATGCATTTCTCCGGTATCCAACATTTTGTATTACTTATGATTTGTGACTTGGCCCCAGGTTTATTATAGAATTTATATATATATATATATGTTTATATATATATGTTTATATGTTTTTTTTCTTTTTAATTTGGCATTTCCATTGAGTATAGTTTAATTTTAACATCTTCAGTGTTTTCTAGTCTAACAACTGGTGTAATTAAATTAATCAGTGTAGTCTTGTGTTATTGTTATCTAGGGGCACTTTCATGTTTAATGCAGGAGGGTTGCAAAGGTTTGAAGTTTTATAATATACTGTGCATCAAAAAATACAACTTTTTATTTTATTATAATTAGTTTTTAGAGTCTGGAAAATGTATTTTTAATTTCGGTTTTACCTGGTAAGTTTTAATTTTAGTTTTCATATATGATGATAACACTGCTGGGTCCATTTTTTTTATAGTACCTCTACAGATATATTGAAATACTGAAATATTCTGAATGGATTTAAATATGAAAATATATTAAATAATGTGTTCATTTGAACTGAGAGACCACTACACTCTTATTGGTAGAAGAAAACTGTAATCAAATTTACCAAAATGTTGAATAAACAAACACACAGGGAGGTAGTTCATTTGTAGAATGATGGTCGTTGTAAATCTCCAGAGCTTTGCATGTGGGCCTGTTTGTGACTTATACCACCAGCAAGGATCCTAGAACACGCCGGAGGCGATTACCATGTGTGCTCAATTAATGAAAAATAAACAAGAACACTCGATTATTTCACATGCTCTTGTTATGATCTTCTATTCAGTGGAGGGAAGAATGAGCCAGAACCAGAACAACCGGTGCCACGGAAAGTGGCGATCCGCACACTACCCTCTACTGAAGACATCGACCCAGATGTGCTTGAAAGCATGTACTCGCTCGGCTGCTTCCGAGACAAGAACAAACTGATGAAAGACCTGCTGTCAGACGAGTGAGTAACTAAGAAAGAGACGCTCACCTCGGGAAGGTTGCTTCCCATGATACCAAAGTTTTATTGCCCATGATTAGACAAGACTGAGTGCTTTTGCTTTTGGAGACCATATGTGTGAGTGTAGTATTATTTTACATCCTTGTTTCTTAGAGTTTAGTAAACACGCAGTACAGAATCTTGACTGCGGGCTATTAGAGAAGCCCATTCACTCCCATTCATCTGTCATCACCTGTACTTGCACAATTACCGCCTGCACGCTTCACTGTGTGCGATCAACTTCGTTAGCACCACTGATAGATGGCCTGGGTGTTCCCTCCTAAAATATTGCGGCCTCTGTCTCTTCTCTTGCCCAGCATTTAAACAATTCAGATGGTGCCTGCAACAAAGACCGGTCATATTTACTTCCCGCTGTGTGGTCCAGGGCAGAAAAAATCAACACAAGGTCTCTCGCTCTGAGAATTTGAAGACTTTTTGAACTCGCCCAGACTCTTGTCGGATGTTTTATGTCTTTGTGCATCATTAATGAAATGAGAGATATCCTGTGATCTCTGCAGGATGTCTTTTAGCTCTCAGGGAATGAGGTGCATGCTACACTGCTCTTTAACAAATGAAGTTAATTAGCCTGAGCTGAGGATTGTATTCTGGAGATTGTACTGTATATCAGACACCTGTCTTGACCACACATGCTTTTTGTTTCTTCGTGCCCTCTCAACCTCCAGTGATAACCAGGAAAAGATGATCTACTTCCTCCTGCTGGACCGTAAAGAGAGATATCCTAGCCACGAGGATCAGAATCTACCACCCAGAAATGAGATTGGTACGAACAGTTCAGTCAGTTTATTTGTTATGTATTTGATTTGTTCATTTATATTTCTTTCTTAATGACAACATGAAATGGCATTCACAGCAGCTTTGTGATGTAACATAATTTCCTCACCCACACAGCCATGGATACACCAGTAGACACAAAAGGTTGTTTAAAAGCCAGAAAACAGCATTTTGATGAAAGAACAATTTCTATAGAACAATGTGTTTACTGATGTATCATATGCAATAAATACCAGGGACATTTATTGAAGTCAGCGGGGCCAATTTTAATTTACAATAAGGTTTGGGTTCAGTAAGATTTTTTAATGTTTTTGAGAAAAGTCTGTGATGCTGCATTTATTTTATCAAAATACAGTAAAAATAATAATAGTAATATTGTGAAATAATATTACAATTTAACATGCCTGTTTTCTCTTTAAATATATTTCAAAGTGACATTTTTCCTGTAATGGCAAAGCTAAATTTTCAGCAGCCATTACCCTTTAATCTTCATCATCACATGATTGCTCAGAAATCATTGGTTCAGTGCTCAAGAAACATTACTAATTGTTCATGTTGAAAATACTTGTCCTGCTTAATATTTTTTTGTGGAAACCGTGATTTATTATTTTTCCAGGATTTTTTGATGAATAGAAAGTTCAAAAGAACAGCATTCATTTGAAACTGAAATCTTTTGTAACATTATAAATGTCTTTACTGTCATTTTTTTATTGTTTTATAATGCATTCTTGTTGAATAAAAGTATTAATTTCTTCAAAAAAATATGTTACTTGGATTTACATGCTTTGGAGGGCTGAGAGACATAATGAAAATATTCACTGTTCGATTTTTCCCATTATGAACTCCACAGGCATAATGGGCTGTTTTCATGTGTCAGGGATCATTGAATTTATCATATGCTGGTCTCTTCAGATCCTCCCAGGAAGCGAGTGGACTCTCCACTCTTGACAAGGCACAACAAGAGGAGGCCAGAGCGCAAGTCTATGGAGGTGCTGAGCATGACAGAGGGTGGATCTCCTGTTCCTGTGAGACGTGCCATCGACATGGCACAACACGGACAGAGGTACAGCAGTGCATCTCTTCCTCCTCTATTATTTATGAAACTCTACAATCGGAGCAGTGAGTGCCACAGTAAAAATGGCTGAAAGGATGTCACATTTTGTGGGGCCTTGAAAGGGAAAATTGAAGACAATAATGTATGTTAAAAAATAAATAAACTTTGGATTGGCAAAATGAAGTTCACAGTTAACAGAAGCTGCATACTAGCTTTGAAATGCATTTTAAATTGCACATGAAGAGTAAAAGAAATAAGATCAATGAGCTCAGCTTAATTCTTTGAAAAAGGAGTTTTTATTATTCTCTGAAAATCCGATTCTCAGCTATTCGAGCAGCATGCTGAATGTGCCATATGGGGAATTTTGACTTCTCAAATTGGTTTTAAGGGGAACAATGGGATTGTTAAAGTACCTTTCATTTTTCTGTATCTTTGACACATTTTATTACAAATTCTTTACATTTTTTTCCCATGTCCATTGTGATCCATTTCATCAGCCCCGTGTCCTTTCCCTGTGTAGATGCTTTGGCTCAACTCCATGACTACTTTTGTAAATTTACTCTAACTTTACTCTCTCTTACTGTAGTAAATCTGTTTTCAGTAAAAGCTTGGATATCTCAGATGCCAACCCCATACTGCAATGCAAGGAGGAGAGGTATAAACCACCGCCATGCGCATAATTTTTTTTCCGTTCTGAAGATGCAGTGGGGTTTTTAACACTCAAAACATGCCACAGAGAGCACTGGCCTGTTATTTCAACTACTGACATTTAAGATCTTAAGAGCTTAGTTTGCTTGAGAGGGAAAAAGTGGAGGTTGCACGTGTAAATCAGAGTTTTTTTCCTCCCGGTCTGGCCTCAGTTTTGGTAAAGCAGCGGCCCTCTGGCTCCCTCCACACACATCAAAAGCATCTTATCTCCTTTATTTTGCCTTTCATGTTTCGTTTGATGTCTGGCATTTTTGTCCCTTGGTAGATCCCAAATTGTTAATTTCTTCCCCTCGTTCTTGTTTTGCCTTCACACTTTTCTTGCCTTCACCCTGGATGTTTGTTGTGTTTTTTTAGATTATTTCACATGCATTTACAGTAGGTGAAAGACAGAGGTTATCCGACTGATTGTGTTCATCTGTTCAGGCATTTTTCTTCGACTTTGAGTTTCACAGTCCTGTCCTACGTCTGCATTCACTGAGACTGTTTGGTCTGCCAGATAATAAAATGGGCCTTGAATATTTCTTTATATATTCTTTATTTTATTTATTTTGATGTAATCAATGCATCGAATAGAGGTGCACTGAATTAGGTATTGGTAAATGAATATTTTACTGACAGACTAGATAGATCAAATACATGTTTATGGATGTTTCCAATTCAAAATGTAGACTTAATTAAACCGAAAAGCTCCCCTGCATCTTTTATACAATTTTAAACAGCATTTTTACAAGCAGTAGTTATCTTAATATAGTTATAGCTTCATATTAATGATGCACTACATATAAAATCTTCACAAATACTGTACAATGCTTAAACAGTAGAAATGTTACCTCATATAGTTACTGTCCCCTAGTGCCTGTCCTTTCATCCCATGAATTACTTTATTCCATAGTCATTTATTACACATATAAAGAGCTCTCTTCCTGACGCTGTGTTTTGGCTAAGCTAATTAGCTGAATGCAAGAGGCATATAATGAACATCAGCATTGTGCTGAATCAGGCCATGGCGTATGTTGCGTTGTGATTTTAACGCTTGAATGATCAGAGTCTGAATGTTGACACCGTTAGGGATGATTTACTGTTTCAATTTGCCTTGATGACAAAACCCATTGTGTCCACGGTCAATTAAATCCCAATCATTTACTGGAGAACTACTGAAGCTCACCATCTAATACACAATGAGGTTCGGAAGAACTCAGAGTCTCTTACAGAACCTCGTAAAATGTTGTGATGGCCTTTTACATTCTTAGGATGAGAAATTATAAATTGCTCAAATTTAATAGCAACTAAAAATGTAAAAATAGCATAATCAACAAAAAGACATATAGGCCTACATAGAAAGTTGACATAATTAACAGACATCCGAGATTTATAGTCAGATATAGAGAAATTGCTGTCTCTGTCCAAGTATAAACTCAATTATTTAATCATGTTTCACTCACACAACATTCTGAATCTCCTATTGAGTTATGACAGTTTACTATATATGAGGCAGAAACCTCTTTACTATGTATGTTGTGTAACTTTAGGTCCCGGTCCATCAGCGGAGCCTCTTCTGGTCTGTCCACTAGTCCCCTCAGCAGTCCTCGGGTAAGCCCTCCATTCATACTAAATCTTTTGTTTTACACAGAGAGTCTGGTTGTGTTGAAACCCTTAGCCAGCTGGTTTGGCATCTATCTGCAGAATATGCATTGGTGAGAAACTCATGGCAGAAGCCACATCTGTTAGATCTATAGACATTCAGCATGAATATATGCATAGATTGCATAATGCAGGGGTCTTCAACAGGTAGTACTGCTGGGCGTTGTAAAAGTATGTATTTTCAACAGTTCAGAATCGTTCAACTGTTTGGCGTCAGTACTTTTTTTTTGTTTTCAACAAGAATGCATTGAATTGATCAAAAGGGACAGTAAAGGCTTACATTGTTACAAAAGCTTTTTATTTCAAAACAGTGCAGTTCTTTTAAATGTTCTATTCACCAAAATTCATTGTGGCTTTCACAAAAAATATTAAGCAGCACAATTTGTTTTCAATATGGATAATAATAAGAAATGTGTCTTGAACACCAAATCAGCATATTAGAATGATTTCTGAAGGATCATGTGACACTGAAGACTGGAGTAATGCCGAAAATCCAGCTTTGTCATCACAGGAGTATATTACATTTTAAGTTATATTCATAGGTAAAACAGTTATTTTAATTTGCAATAATATTTCACAATGTTATCATAATATTTACTGTATTTTAATCAAATGAAAGCAGCCTTGGTGAGCATGGGAGACTACTTTCAAGACATTAAGAAGCCCCAATTTTTTAATTGTAATGAGTGTTTATAAAAGTATTTGAATAGATTAATATGGTACCATATGCATTGTTATTATTAGACATGGTTTAAAACGGAACACTAAATTCGATCAAATATGTAACAAGAGGACCCTGCTCTGTCTTTCTGTCCACCAAGGGAGTCCTTGAAGACCACTGACATAATGCAATATGTAATATTAATTCTCAGAAATGTTAGTGATGATGGAGCTTTAATGATAATTATGTATATCGGTAGCTTTGTTAAACAAAACCAATTTTGTATTGCCTATAAGCTGAAATACTGCAGCAACATTGCTTTCTGCCGCTACCGATCCACTGCTTCTAGCCCAATCGGTCTACCACGCTTGGCATAATTGCTGCTAATCTATGCCCTATTCACAGGCTTGTTGCCTTGAAATATTTGAAGCCCAGTCACTAATGGCTTGTTAAAATCCCTTGAAAATCCCTGGTTCCTTACTAATGGTGAAGCCTCTGGATGTAGCCAGCTTTTACAGTTGATTTGTGTAAAGAGGCTAACCGATTACAGATCCATTACTAAGACCTCCCAATAGGCAGTTCTTGAGTTACATCAAGGAATTCCCTACAGGATTCATCCCAAAGTCAATTCTGAATCTGACCTGATCAAATATTCTGCAGTTTGAAATGTTCTAAATTTGGAGAATGTCTGCAGTGTCACCCTTTCACTGATGAAAATGGCTCACATAGAGAACAGGCTTGGTGGAAGTAATTTGAATTAGTCTGTGAAGAACTCCTTGATACAGCTCATCTGAGATTAGTTTTACTGCTCAGACACAGACTTAAAGGTTTGTCATGGAAGAATCTTCCCTGCAGTATGAAAGAGCTTTAAAAATCAATTTTATTGCATTTGTGTTCTTCTTTATGCCGTGCTAGGGTTGCAGCTGGTACAGTTAACACTCCATTGTATTTCTTTGATGTTTTACAATATGCTTGATGAGCTTTCACTTCACTGATTGTAATCACACTCTTCACTTTTAGTGGCCTGTATTGAATCAGTGCCCTGTTTCTGACCCAATTATTATTATTATTAGCATCATCTGTCAAACAGCATCCTCATATCATACCTCCAACAGCAGCATTGTACTCTATGCTCTGTTTAATGGCCAACTGCACTTATTTTCACTAGCCATTTTGATAGTGTGGCACTATTGTCTAGAAAAACTCGTTAATTGAGGCAGTATATATTTCTGTGACTTGTATCACATGTAATTTCTACCTAATTTATGATGATTATTTCAATTGATATGAGGCATTCTGACAATAGCGTCCTTTAAAGCAAAGCTCATGTGCCTTGTACACATTTCCTGCTTGCTTAGTCAGTGCTGTCAACACCTCTTTTAAGTTCATCCCAACAACAACCCAGAGCTTTTTTGTTGCTAATTTCTGTTGCTGATTTTGATTTGTTTTGGGAACACTGATTTGGGAACATTTTATTTCCACGGTCTTGTTGCCTCTTTGCTGGTTGTGCTAATGGCATGTTTTTTCTTTCTTTCTTTCTGCATTTCCTCCCTCACTTCTCATCACCGGTGGCTTGTTCACCATCTTTTCATGTTTGGTGTCGGTGTGTGTGTGCTTCTGCGCCGTAATGCCTGTTGACTACGGGGCCGTGTGTTGTTTGTATGGGCTGCGTTGGCTCTTTTTATGCTGCTGGCTCTGTGTATGCGCTCTTACAGCCCATGCGGCGGTTTGCCATTCCGCCACAATCCGCAGAACTCACTCAGTCACCCAACCACAGCCCCACCCACGCACCTGTGTCCCGGGTGAACGGCACAGGCCCCCACTCCCCCAAAACCTTTCAACCAAAGACAGTTGCCCTTCAGTCCAACAACAAAACCCAGACCCTTCCAGCCAAGCCCAAAGTTGCAGACAAGCCCCTGCAGGCCACCAGGTCCAACCCACTCCCTAACACGATGGCCGTGCCATCTGCGGCCAGGTCAGAACCTTCTACGCCCTGCCAACCCCTGCTCCCGCCGATGCCCGGCAGCCCGAAAGTGCGCCGGCCACTGCTCACGGTGCCACCCAAACTCTCTGTTCCCCTTTCCCCCCTTTCACCCATCCGGCTTCACCACCTTCACCCGCTGGCCGGGACTGACCACAACGGCAAATCTATCCCCACCATACAGGTTACGCCTCACCCTTCCCCCAGGGGCAGCCCATTGCCAACTCCAAAAGGAACGCCGGTGCACACGCCTAAGGAGAGCCCAGCAGGAACCCCTAGCCCTACGCCACCCCCCAGCCCCTCTATTGGAGGCATGCCGTGGAGAACACGCCTCAACTCCATTAAAAACAACTTCCTTGGCTCACCACGTTTCCACCGCAGGAAACTACAAGGTACCAGCAGTGCTAGATACATCTCAAAACTGTTTTTTTTAAACATTAACATCAACTTGTTCAGGGATTGCAGATGAAAATGTGCCATTTTGACTAAATCGGGCACATTTACATTGACATGATGCTTATTAACGTGTAATGTCTCTGATTAAATAAACTAGGGAATAACTTTAATTAAATAACTTTAATTAAAACAAAAAATCTGGGTTAATTTATACATGACAGATTAATAAAATTCTACACAAAATTTTACACAATTTCTTTTGTGTAAAAAATTTTAAATTAAAGGGGTCATATAATGTTGCTAAAAAGAACATTATTTTGTGTATTTGGTGTAATGAAATGTGTTTATGCAGTTTAAAGTAAAAAAAAAACACATTATATTCCACATACTGTACATTATTGTTTCTCCTCTCTGCCCCGCCTTTCTGAAACACGTCGATTTTTACAAAGCTCATCTGTCTGAAAAATGAAGTGTGCTTTGATTGGCCAGCTATCCAGTGCATTGTGGTTGGCCGAATACCTCAAGCGTGTGACAGAAATGTTACGCCCTTTATCATATTGTGATGCCGTGTCCGGCCGGAGCGACGAGACAAAAACATTAAAACCCATTATAAACGAGGCATTTGTTGCATCCAGTGGGGACATAATTACGGATTATAATGACTTATACTGTCTTATTACACATTGCGTTGCATCGCGCTGCGTAAACATATAACCATGTCTGCATTTGTGATCGGAGAAACGACAAACAACAAGCGCTACTCTACACTGCTCAAAACTCGCGTTCTTTCATATTCTTTAAATATGAAAACGTACTTACAGTCTGTGAGTCAGAACAGCCGGCATTCTAGTCTACTCTCCCAGGATCAGGAAACAGTCCTCCATAAAATGTGCTGCACACATCTGAATATTTAGGTTGAACTGTTCTGGAACAGTGTTGTAAATACAACGTAACCACTGATTTCTAGTCATGTCCTCTTTTGGAAGGCCAAACAAAGTATTTTCGCTTTCGCAATGAAACACACAGCGTCTTCACAACATGGCGGCGGCAGCAACCATAACGTTACGCCTTCTTTCTTTGCGTGAACATTTGGGCGGCGTTATGCAAATCTTCCCACATCATGACGTAGACATATGGGGGCGTGTTTAAACGAGGCGTTTTAGGAGGGTGAGGATGAGTTTTAACTTTAAAAAAAAATACAATTTGGGTTTGAGACTTTAGTCTTTGCAACTTTAGGGGTCTTATCTATTCACGAACAGCTTGTAACACTCCAAAGAGAAAAGAAAACTTGAAATCGCATCATATGACCCCTTTAAA